CCTGTGGCCATGAAAGTGATTGTATCTTCTGGATTCAATGATTTTAGTGGGTGAGTGAAAACATTTGGCAATATATCCTTCAAGCTTAGGCCTCTACCAGAAACCTGGGAGTTTTGAGCATCCTGTGAAGTATCTTTGCTGTTCCTACAACTGTGCTCATTTGCTAATCTCAGATGACTATCCAGGAATGACATCGTGATCCCCTAACTGGCTGTCACCTTCCGCATCTTCCACCTTCCCCATCTTCTTCACCTTCCACATCTTCTCTAGCCCTTGGTATTAATTTAATTTATTATTTTATCTTGTGTTCTGATCCTTCTGATCTTTCTATAGCTTGGTTTTGCTACATCTATCACTACGGCCGCCTTCTTCTTACAGGATGCCCAACACTACAGTGTCTGATTGGTTAGCCATCACCAGTTTGTCTGTCTGTAAGGACATCACACGGGATCTTAGCTTGGTCATTGTCAACAACTTATGGTGGCATATACCATTTTGACCTCCAGGCCATACTCAGGATAGATATTTCAGTACCCTGTGCCAGGCACTATTTCATGGCGTATCTCCAACTTTGGTGAGCCTGTTCTAATACTGAGTCTCATTTATTAGTATCTCTGTGGAAACATTCTTACTGTACTCGAAAAATGACAACTTCACAGTAGTCAGATACCTTCAACATGTATCATCATCATCACAGAATCATCACAGTGTCCATTCATACATCATTAAAATCTGAAAATGCTTTTTCAGATGTTTTGTTTGTGAAACTGATGGTTTTAATGTTAATATAAATCAATGTCATTTTCAGTATCCACAAAAAGGCACCACATGTGTACAGGTTGTAATAAAATACGTTTATACAGTGCTGTTGATTCACACTTTTCTGAACTCATGCTTTTTCCTCACACTTTACTTTACTTAATTCATTAGAAATAGATGGAGGTGTGAAATGCATGTGTACATATTTGTTACTGAATATGGAAATGCTTTTCAGTATTTTGGTACTGAAGATTATTTTTAATCATCAATAAAGGATCATTTAAAACTTTTATTGCGTGCACTTCATCTTATTTCTGCAAAGCATGTTATAAATCATTTAAAATAAAGTTTTACAAACTCAAACAAACTCACCATAAGAAATTCTGACCAGCAGCACCAGCAGTCCAACCACAGCTTTCATGTCTCCTCTCTGTTACGTGTCTGTCAACCAGTCAGCAACAGCGTGCAGTGCATCCTGTTAGAAATCAGCAACACAGAACAATGTGTGAAAACTTTAACCAATAAGAACATTGTTATAGTCATCTTAACTGAGGAGCTGTCATTCTACTTCTGCTTTCAACATTCAACAACTGGACATTTCTGAGCTGAAGAAAGGGGAAACAGTTCTTAAGTACTGAAACAGAGAGCTGATCTTGGTAAGACAAAATTGTATAAACACATCTGTTCTGCATATGTTTGAAGCGTGCCGTCACCTTAATTTAGATCTTTATAAAGTCAGAAATAACCATCATTACAGTTGTTGCCAAAAGTTTTGTCAGTGGCACAAATTTTGTGTTTCATGCTTGTTATTCAGTCTTTAATTAGATTGTTGGTCACATATTTATGTACATGTCACAATGATCTTCCTCTCTCGCCCCTGTGGGTGGTCGATCCTTCAAGCTCGGGTCCTCTACCAGAGGCCTGAGAGCTTGAGGGTCCTGCACAGTGTCTTAGCTGTTCCTAGGACTGTGCTCTTCTTGTTCCTGGGATCTGCTGGAGCCACCCGCCTAGCTTGTGGGTTATTGCACTGAGTTCTCCAATTATCACTGGGACCACTGTTACCTTCAACCTTCCACATCTTCTTGAGCTCTTGTCTGAGCCCTTGGTACTTCTTCAGCTTCTTGTGCTCCTTCTTCCTGATGGAGGAAGTCCAGGACCCAGCGACAGCGGGAGGGTGTCAGACCAAGAGTGAAGAACTTTTCCTTCATTACAATTGAAGGGATTGCGATGGGGGGATAGCTATTCAAACAGGTTAGGTTGTTCTTCTTGGAGAAGGGAACTATGGTGGTGGACTTGAAGCATGTGGGCACAGCTGACTGGGTGAGGGACACATTAAAAATGTCTGTAAACACCTCAGTCAGCTCTGAAGAGCAGACCCCCAAAGCAGGACCATCTGCTTTCTGGGGGTTAGTCCTCATCAGAACCTTGCATACTTCAGTCAAAGTCACAGTTAGTGAGGAGTAGTGATGTGTTGGTTACATATATATACATATGAGTGTTTGTGTATAAATACACAAACAAAAGACATATGCTGTGTAATTTAAGTGATCTAGGTACCTCTGTTTTGGAAGTTCAATTAATGCTAGCAATGTGTTTTGGAGTTTGTACGTTTTGTTTCTAGGGCCCCCTGTATATATTTATATATAAACGTATATAAATAAAACCACATTTTTTTTACATTAGTAATTCCTTTTGTGCATAATTTTATATGGTTTTTAATTTTAATTAAATTTAATTAATTAGACCAACAAAACAACCAGAAGAGCCGGTTGGGAGCCGAAGGAGCCGGTTCTCTAAAAAGAGCCATCACTAGTGAGGAGCTCTGTGATGCCTCTACTGGTAGAATCCCTCTGTGTTGGCTGGTGTTGAGGGTGTTGAAGTGAGCGTAGAACTCACTCAGCTTATCTGGTAGGGCGTTGCAGCGGACTGTGACCCTGCTGCTACTCTGTTGGAAATCAGTGATGTGTTGCAAGCAAGTTGTTGTAGTATCCCTCCAGTCTCAATCTGTACTGCCTCCTGGCTTCCCTGATGGCCAAGGCCATATCTGTCCTTTTTTGAAGCCTTCTGCATCAACAGATTTATTATAATTTATTTATTTATAGAAAAAGCTATAATATGGTGTAATATGGAGATTATAGCATAAATTGTAGATCTACTAAAGGCTTAATTTCCCAATAGGAAAAAAAACTATTTTGTATGATTTGTGAAGGCAAAAGAGGAATAGGATAGGAATAGGATCCCAGAAAGTCCAGGAAAAAACATGCAGTGAAAAAAGAGCAGATAATAGTAGGAATTAATTGAAGACAGAGGGTATAAATACAAAAAGGTAATGGGGGAGGATGACACAGAAGAGAAACTATGGCACAGCTGAAAATAATCAAGAGACAGAAGAAGTAAAACTAGACATGAGACACAGAAGATGACCAAAGAAATAAAACAAGAAGTGAATCAAAACCAAAGCTGACACACTGAACACAGGTGAACTTCACAGAAAGAAAACACAAAATGAACAGCAACAGCAATTTCAACAAATACAAATCAAAACTAGACAGACAGACAGATAGATAGATAGATAGATAGATAGATAGATAGATAGATAGATAGATAGATAGATAGATAGATACATTCTACATGGAACAAGTTTATACAAGAAATTGTAAGTAATAACAGACTCTACAAGAATTAATCCAAGAACCAATTCAAAAAAATCACCCATAATAAAAAACTAAAATGATACAATAACATATAAAGCAACAGATGAAACACAAGGAACAAAATAATGCCTATGACTTCAA